AAGGAATTGCATTCGAAAATGCATATGCGATTCCTAAAATCTTGTCCTAATTAATTGTACTGCTGATGGAAAAGTGGCTTTGTACCAAGTGGGTGTGAAAATGCTATTGATCTGACATCTATATGCTTGACACATCCTAGCTTCTATACATGTATGTTTCACCTTTCTTCTTGGTCCATGGACAGCTTACAAAAGAGATAAGAAACATTGCATGAGAGTTGTTTTCATTTGTTCGTTCTTTGTCGAAGAAGCTTGTTATAAATTGCTAGAAATTAACAATTCTCAATTAATTAAATCTTTTATGATGAGTTTTGTATACAATAGTAATGAAGTAGATAAGTTGCGTCAATAAGTTAAATATTAATTTTGATTCTTAAATTTTAAAATTTTTATTTTTTTATTAAATTAGTTCAGAAAAAGATACTTTTTAAGCATAATTAAAAATTATAAGATGAAAAAAGTATTGAAATTAATTAAAAAAAAAAAAAAAGAATGGACAAACTTAAAGTTTGAGAACTAAATTTAGCATCTAATCATGTCAACAAGGCGCGCCACTAGTCGGTGATGGAGTCAGGATTTAATGACAGGGGGGCAAACTTAAAAAAAAAAAAAAAAAAAGAGATGAAAAAGAAGTTGATAAATGCTTTAAAATGTTGATCACAAGAAAGGCATAAGTGGCATTAAGAAAACTTGGACCCTCACCTGGTCAAATTTCTTTTATTATAGCATGTTTGGATTGAGGATAATAAAGATGAGGGGAATAGAAGGATGCTGTATCTTTTCATTTTCTCCCTTTCTTTCATTTGAATAAATAAATGAATTAAAAGAAAAAAAATAAAGCAAATGACTTCCTTCTCTTTCTTTCCCTCCTTTCTCCTCCCCTCCAATTCTTTTGATAAACAAATAGAGGATTTCTTCCCCTCCCTCCATTTCCCTCAATACAAACATACTATTAGTTAAAAATAAAAAAAAATGCTTGGATGCAAATGTGTGAAAATTAGACATGTAAATTTTAATACAAAATTTGCAGCTAACTTCAAATTAGTTGATAATAGATAGAATAGCTCTTCTTGTGATATGAAGGGAGGTTGAGGCTTGACTTTGGGGGTTGGGTCAAGTGGGCTAACAATGAGCTTCTTAAGAATGAAATCTATGCTTTGATATTATGTGAAAATTGAGCATATGAGTTTTAATACAAAACTTAAATCTAACCTAAAACCATTTAACAATAAATGAAGTAACCCTTCTTATATATTTAAGTCACACATATTTCTTCTTATGTTTCAATATGAAATTTTAACGCTTAACAAAATCCATGTAAACAGCAAAGAAGTCATAAAGTGATCATTAATAGCAGCATCAATCTCACATGATAAAATAAAGAAATTTGATATATCTTATGTAAAACATATGAGTAATGATGGAGGGGACGATTTTGGGGGATGACAAGTGATGGGAAGGTTCATGCATGTGGTGCAATTACTAATTTAACCCCTGCATAACTTGTCGTCCCCCAAAATCGTCCCCCGATTTCGTCCCCTCCATCATTACTCAAAACATATATGTTCTTTGAAAATTTTGGTGCCTATAGTAAATAACTTTTTAATAGCATTTGAAAGCAAAAAATAATAATAATGATAAAGCCCAATTAAAAAAAAAAGGAGAAAAGATGTCATATTTTATAAACAATTAAATTTGAAACAAAAAATTATCTCAAATTACAAAACAAAGAAAGTGGAAGGTGTGCGCTTCATATTACTATTGGTGGGGAATTTCTTTTGTCTCTGTGCTGAGTATCAATGAACATTTCAAACAACAGGCTGGTTTAGTGGGCAACATATAATTCAGAGGCATGGATGGTGATTTGGTATGTAGTGACATGGTCCATCTGGCTTCAAAGGAATCAAGTAACTTTTAGCAATGGACCAGTAGTCAAGGGAGAGGAGATTTTTTTTTTTTTTTTTATTGGGTTTGAGCAAATTCGGTTCCTGACTTGTCATTCGAGATATGAAAATCTGATCCGAGAGTTGTTTTGAAATGGTAATAGTGTTGCTTCAAGTGCGATTTTATTGTTAAGGATGTGATTGGAAGTTGTTTTTTTTTAGGAATGTTAATGGTCTTGGGTACCCATTGTACCAATATTAGAAATAATTTTTTTTTTGGCTTACCAAAAATAAAATAAAATAAAATAAAAAGAAAAAGGTATCTATCAACAAAACAAAGAAAATAGTCTAACACCTATTTAGGGCTTAATTTTCTAGGAAACAAAAAGGAGGAGCAAGAAAGGAGATATGTAAGAAATTTAGAATTTTTTTTTTATCAATTTTTTGTCATCAAATTAAGAGAGTAAAAGATATATTTTATATTTAATGAGTCATCCTTAAAGAACTCACTAATTATTATCTCCACATTTAGTTTGAATTTAATTTTTAAATATCTAGAGCTTTCTCCTAACCACTTTGGAACTTGTCTCCATAGCTGAATGACGCCCTCTTGTAAGGTAGGACCATAGTTCACTTATGGGTTATACCATGTTTCCAGGCCTCATTGGCAACATAGTCGAACTTGTAATGAACCAAGCTCTAACTCAATTTATGTACTTAAGATTTGGTTATTTATTGAATGAGGGTACTGTTTCATAGTCTACATAATAAAACAAGGATTTTTTGATGGGGGAAGGGCACCAAATATCAAAGGGCTTTTCTTTAATTAAAGGATTAATACTTTATGGTTAGGATTAAAATATTTTTTTCTTTATTGAATAATAATAATAATAATAAAAGCCAGCCAAAGTCTTCAATGAGGCATCCAATGGGTGTTTTTATTAGTAAAAGCTAAAAACTTTAAGTTGAAAGCATCAAGAACAAAAACAGATTCAAGAAAGAAAATGCCTCAATCATTCATTAGAGAGAATAAAACCATACTCAAATAACTCAATCGCCACAGACTTGTGCTAGTTGACACCATACCAACAGGACTTGGAAGATTCAAAAAATGACATTGAAAGCTCAAAGGTCAGAGAATAAAACCACCCCTCTTCACATCTCCAAGTGCAAACTAACTTGTGTCTCTCCAAAGAGGTTGAGCCAAATGTCTTTTTCATGATTTTCTTTGTGGTACAAAGCTTGAAACGATTTTGACTCATGGCCTATTCGTTTATGGACATGTGGGATTGTGTGGCCTTGGGGTTTTGATGCTGGAATTGGAATAATTTACAATAAAAAGGGTGGAGCAAAGTGGAAATCCAACTTGACCAGAGACCAGATAAAATGCCTTCAAAGATTTTGTTCTTCTTCTGCCTTGCCCATACGAAGGTCAAAAAGGCCCCCTTTTTTTTTATATATCTTTTTATCCAACAGACTCATGAGAGACAGAGAAACACAAATCTTGGAGAATCATTTGAAAAAGATAAAAGAAAACAACAACACAGAATAGCGTGAATACACATTCCCCATAACCCCTTTGGAAATTTGTAGTCAGATCTCATAATTATTTTTCACTGTAGGCTTTTGCACATCAAATTAAGTCTCTTGGATCAATTATAGGCCATTCGAGTATAATACTTAAAATCAATTGAAAATACATCAAAGAGGCTCATCTTAAATACGAGAATCTCCAAGGCATGTGATATAATACCATCACTATAAATGAAAAGAGAAGATTTATAAGAATCTTCTATCTTCTTCTAAGAAGCGAACTTTAATATGTTGCATCAAGGAAAAAGGACCTAAATGCTTGACCCCTAGCCAAGTAGGTTATAGATTTGAAGGGTAACAAACCACACCTTGCCATGGGCCTGGTTAGGGGGCAAACTCCTTTACTAAAAAGGCTGACCTCGCATAGGGATAACAAAAATAATACAAGGTCAATTATTAACGAATCTCATGAATTTTTATTCAAAAAAAAAGCAAGCTTTGTGGCAAAGGATCAGATCTAACCAGTAAATATCAATTTAGAAACCCTAGGTAGTTCCATAAATTTTAGATCACAAAGTACTTCTTGAAGTTCGGAAATTCGATTATGATAGCTTATCATTGACTGTAAAGATCAGTGGAGATGGGTGGCAAAGGCTGAATATATTCCAAGACAACAACTTTGAGGATTGGATCAAACAAAAATGTCATTTCATTTTTTTTATTTTGAAAATGTAGAAATTCACGGCCTTTGTTATAAATAGACATATGGGGCATTGGACTTGTGCATTACCTCGGAGGAGAAAGATGTGTTTACATCTTTCTTTAGGATTTATACAAGTACGAGGAAGAGAGGTCTTACATGAAGACAAGGAGTCTTGTTTTGTAGCCAAGGATGACTTGCCTGCAGCCTCTTGCAAGGGGTCCCTAACCCCAACCTAAAGCCTATATGATAACTGAAATGAACATCCAGGATTTTCTTCGGTGGTATTCAGGCAGTCTCCTTGGCTAACGAGACAGGCTCTTGTCGCTCATGCTGGACCTTCTCTTCCCCCATGGTTCAAAGAGCCTGGTTCAATCTTCTTGCAGACTCGCCCTGGATATATTAAGCTTTTGGAGAAGCCTGACTGAGGTAAATTAACTAAATTTGCTTTTGAGTTTTGCATCTTTCATTTGCTGTTGGGCAGGACTATAGGGGCGACTCATGTGCATCAAAAGAAATCCACTAGACCAAATAGCTTCTAAAATAAACTCATCTCATCAACTATTACAGAACACTGTGGAAGTATACATCATAAAAACATGTATGACAGAACATACAAGTTATTAGCCAAGCAGACATGACGAAACTAGACTAAACTTGTTTATTAATTACCCATCAAGCAAGCATTGCGAAATTATCTTGTTCCCATTGTGGCTCATCAAGCAGGCATGGCGAACTATCTTGTTTCCATTGTGGCACATCAACCACCGCACATGGATCTGATTTCTCAAATTCAGCAACCTGTATGAGAAAAAGTGTGCAAAAATATACTGATTTGAATGAAGAGGCATTATAATTGAGAAGTGGAAATGAAGGAAGAACAAGAGGAAAAGTTATGCTTGCCTTTTGGTGACAGCTTGGGCAGTAGTGGTATTTATGCCATAGGCAATCCATTGAAGGGCAGAGAAAGCAGATTCCAAGACCGAATGGCATCATGCAACCCACAACTGCTGCCAGACTAGGTTTTGATCTGAATTTCACACATAAATGTAAAAATATTCATGTGATCAAGATAATGACAGAAAAACAATCTTGTCTTAAAAGTTGAATAACATGCTTTAATTATGGGAGAAGGAAAACTCTAAAACTGAAAGTCATAGCATTAAGTACATAGGATGGCAGAAATAAGTTCAAGAGTGGCAAAACCCACCATGATCATCAAAAGCATGCAAATTTGAATCAAAATATGAAAGTAGTTTCATTTTTACGCCAAGCCTCCAGCCACAAACAACCTACCTGTTTACTACCCCTTCCAAAGTAACACTCGCTGTTAAGTCACAGAACATAACAACCAAAGGGAACAAAATACAAAACTTAAACATGGTAAATTCCACTATATATTGGCCCAACATGATGGATAACGCATATACCTCTTGAAATCATCTTGGAAAACTATATCCTCCATAAATGTTTTGTGTAGCGTGGAGTCGTGTCAACTGCACAAAACTAACAATTAAATGGGAGAACCCAATTGTACACTTCAGACTACGAAACCACTTACTAAATCCAGAGTTCGTGTCAACTACACAAAACTAACCATCAAATGAAAGCATCCGATTGTACAATCCAGACTACAAAACCACTGGCTTGACACAAAATTTGAGATAAAAGTAAAAATCAATATGTTCTCACTTTTGAAATGTTATAATTGACGGTAAAATTAATCAAATACCCTTACTAATGAATCTTTACATTGATTTATTACCTAAGGGCATTTAAGTCTTTTCAATGCCAAATCATGACCTTCCCCATCCCTTTTATCTAAAATGAAATGAGTAGAGAACATCACCCACCTGAGTACACAAATAAGCAGGAAGGAGAACTCCACCATGCGCGCCTCAACAAGGGGGTGGAAGACCCAATTGCTAACAATTTTTAACCTAACTAGTAACTACTAACCATTAACTTGTAAAAAAAAAAAAAAGAGCAGGAAGGAGAGTGTCATCAGAAACATATTAATTTACATTAATTTTTTCCATGGAAAGAAAGATGAAATAAACAAGATTCGAAAAAAGAGAGTAAGATGAATAGTTAATACCTGACGTCAGTGAGTCCAGACTCGCCACAGTAAGGGCAATTGAACGGAGCAGGGGTGTCCCGGTACATGGTCTGTTGAAGCGGAATCCCCTTTGGATCGCCGTAGACGGCGTTTGGAGGGATCATCCCGGCCTAGTACGGGTTCATCCCGACATAGGAAGGAACTCCGACAACTGGCTGCTCCGCTTTCGACATCTTCACCACAACTCCGATTGAGATTTGCAACACCGTTTGTCAAAGCCGGTAGAAATCCGCGACGGTCGGACGGAATTAAACTCAAAATTCAATGGTTGAGTCCTTCTGTTACGAAAATGACAGGAAGGAAGATGAAGTAATTTCCATTGGAACCATCAACGGGCTCCATGGCCCAACAGAAAAACCATAAACGGGCTTCTTTGCCCGTAATTAGCCGAGTTGGACACGTAACAACTGGACCTGACCTGTCAATTTGGTTTCGTAGTTGAGTCTGTCCAACTTGCAAAACAGCAGAAACAGCCATTGATAAAAAGTTATGCCAACCATGTCAGAAGCAGGAATTTGAATGCAAAATTAATTTTTGCAGGTTATGTTTGCCACATCCGAGCATAACTTTATCCGGTACTTGTGAACAGGACGTTATATAGGTGCATGTGAAATAAATGGATATCCCTATTCCCTAGCCTCTTGACGGACGATGCCTCATTGGCAGCATGGATTCCACTTCTTGATGAGATCTTAAAAAATGTCACGAGAAAGACTTGTAAAGTAATTGGTCAAATTATTAGTAAAAATACGTTTTTCCATCAATATAACTTTCATTCTCTCTCCTCCCATCTCTCTCCCATGAGATATTAACCAATTGGCATATACTATAAAAAATATCTAAAATATCATATATTCACTACAAGAAAATAGATTTTTTGTGATAAAAAACTATGACCGATTTCTAGTTCATCACTAATATTTTTTACATTTTGTGACTAATTCAAAATATTGATCTCTAACGTTGATTTTTAAAATTCAAATATATAATTACAACATAAAACTTACATTTAGTCACAAAAAATTTGTTACAATAAACAACGTAAATTTGTTATAGTCAAAATAATCTCTGTAAGTTAATTACTAGTTATTAGTAAAATATCGATTATATATTTGATACAGGAGATACTAATAGACATAATATGGATTATAATACTAAAATGACCTAGGTAAAAACTTATTTGAAATAAAAATATAATTATAAAAAATATATAAATGTAAAGATTAACTAGTATTAACAAATTGAGAATAAGCGGTACTTTGGCGCTTGTCGTTTTAATTGTATAGTCCCTTGATAGAGGGAGATGTTGATATATCTCTGCACTCCCTGCTGCTTAGATTCCCTTCTAGGCTTCTACCATTTGGGAAGGCTAGGAAAGAGAAAGAGAGAGAAAAAGGTCTCTTTGTCTTGGTGTACAGTAGTTCATATGTTGATCCAGCTCTATGAATATGATGCTAGAACACCTCCATTATAATGGACCATGCCTTTTCTTCATACCGTATTTCGAGTTAGGCTAGGGCATCTCTAATTTCTCTCTCCCCTTCACTATTTGTCTGCAATTTCCGAATCTTTTAGCCTTTAGAGCCAAGGGACTCTTAACTGACCAAACAGCTGTATTTGTCAGTGTGTCACTCCGTTTTGCATGCATGCTTCCTCAATTTTAGTATTTTACGACTTCTTCATTTTGCCTTTTGGTTGTTTTTGTACTTCGACAGTGTGATTAATACATTAAGTACTTTAATATGGTCTAATTCATAATTGGAATTTCATTTTTCTTCATGGAAGAAAAAAATGTATTGCCTTTATAATTTAAAAATGTGTGAACAATGATATTAACTTTATATTTCTTCTATTTAACAATTTTAATTTTATTAGTTTTAAATAAAAATATCGATTTTTAATTTTTTTATTTAAAAATATCAATTTTTAACTCTTTTGATTTAAGGATGTTAATTTTTATACAAAAACACATTATCTTCTTGTTTGTTTAAAAACTTTAATTTGGCTCTTTTCTCCCGTGCTTCGAAACTCTGCAACTAGGGTTTCGGTGACGGCGGGCCTCTCACTTCAGTGCCCCTCCTTGTTTTTGCAAGGCCTCCCTCCTCTTTCTTTTTCCTGGTTTTCTACCTCTCCATGGAATGGATCAGACTCGTATTTTGGCCTGGAACTGTCGAGGTCTTGGAGATACTTCTGCGATTTCAGAGTTGAAGAAACTCTGTTTCCAACATAAGCCCAGCATCATCTTCCTCTCCGAAACTAAGCGCACAACGGTGGAGATGACCTCGATCCGCCCAGATCTAGGGTTGGATCACGTTTCTGTGTGCAATTATGCAGAGAGAAGGGGCGGCTTGACCCTGCTTTGGAGTGAGGAGAGTAATCTTCAAGTTTCCTCTTTCTCGCCTTTGATAGATCTAGGGTTGGTTTTGCTGTTCTGCAGGCAATTGTGCATAGAGAAACCATCACACATCGATGTTGTAATTGTAGATCCCGGTGGTTGTCAACGGCCATCAACAGGGTATTCTGGCCAACCAGAGATGGTTTCTCCTATGCCTCGAAGATGTTTAGGCGATTTCAAGGATTTTTTTAGCAAATCGGCAAAGGAGAGGGGCTTGGTTTCTGCGGGAGGGGCCAAAAGGGGAGAATGCTGGTGGAGGTTGTTTGGAGACGTCGGAGGTGTTCTGCAAGGGGAGGATGCCATTTCAGTCTCAAAAGGGGCTCTAGTTCCCTTATTGAAATTTGGCAACAAAGGCTTGCAAAGGATTGGAATAGTTAGGATCATGGTTGGGAGCCCATGGCAACGAGGGAGGTGCCTGGGTTTGTATGGAGGGGCTTTAGTTCCCTCCTGTTAATTGAAACTGTTTTAGGGACGACATATAGTGGGCTGGGGACTGCTAATGTCAAATTTTCCCTGCTCTCCCCATGAAGCTGGCTAAATAGGTGAGGACGTCCAGTAGTTTCAGACACTTATAGCGACCTCCTTTTCTACTTTTTGTAGCCCTATTTTTGCCCTTACAGTGATTGTAGTTACAATCCTTAGTCACAGATGGCCCTCTTCGCTTAATTGTCCACATCCGTCATGGGCATAGTTTAAATCTGTTACTTATGCTGTAGGTTATGCTTCGGTTTTTAGCTAGGCTATAGTGCCCTGCATTGAGATTAAGCTGTAATCTCCTTTCCATTTAATATAAATCTCTATTTTCTATCAAAAAAAAAAAAGTGTAATTACTTTTGTTAATTTTTTTGTCTTATAATTTTTTTTCCTAAATAGTATATTAAAATATTTAGACCTATAAGTAAATTGTAAACTAATATGAGCTAACATTTATCACCATCAATTGACAGAAAACACCAAAGTAAACAATGCCAAACTTTGCGAAAATGCTATATATTGTTTAAACTATATACGTCACTTTCAAGATTGGTGATGCACTGATGATCACTAGTGTATTTTTAATATGTATTTTAATACAAGTTAATGATGTATTAATTATATTTTTTAAATTATTGCATATTTTAACTTTTAAGTCATAT